TTTTTTTTTTTTTTTTTTTTTTTTTTTTTTTTTTTTTTTTTTTTTTTTTATCTCTGAATCATTCTTCTTCCTTGATCTTGATTCTTTCCCCTCTAGGGTTCTCTATTTTGAGATTTGATCTATAGATTTCTGTTTTTTTTTTCCTCATGAATTTGGCTCTGTTTCTTGTTGGTGTTTTGTTTGCGGATCTGACGTAATTGGCATTGTCGATTTATGATTTGATTTGATCGGTTTTGTAGACGACATCGCGGCGTCTTGCGGATCGGAAGGTGGAGAGGTTCGAGAAGAACATTTTGAAGAGAGGGGCCGTGCCCGAGACTACTACAAAGAAGGGAAAGGACTATCCTGTTGGTCCTCTTCTTCTTGGATTCTTCGTCTTTGTCGTCATTGGATCATGTGAGTATTTTCTTGGTCCGCGTTCCAGATTCTGAATGATAGTTTCATCTGCTTATGCTTATGTTTTCACCTATTCTGGATTTCTATTATATGGCTCAAGATTCTGTGCGGTTGTTTATCAATCATCATATATTTACCTTAATCTATCTAAAAAGAACATGATATCTAGAGGTCCTCTCTTCAAATTCTCATGAAGACCCAAAATGAAAGGTTGAGAATACATGTAATTATGTATATGCCATAGTTTTAATGTAACTGTAATATTTGTTTATAATGGTGTGTAGAAAGAATCATGGTAGCTAGTAATCCGTCCATCTTGAGCTTAGAATGAGTCCAAAATTATCCAGGATTCAATTCTATTCGTACTTTTGTTGTTCAAAGATGGCCCCAGAACACAATTTTCATTTAAGATCATGAATGATTATGTTGAGGCCTTCTTAGCTAGTAATCCGTCCATCTTGAGCTTAGAATGAGACCAAAATTGTCCAGGATTCAATTCTATTCATACTTTTGTGGTTCAAAGATGGCCCCAGAACACAATTTTCATTGAAGATCATGAATGATTATATTGTTGAGGCCTTCTTGCAGTAGAAGTGGTTTTTGGTTGTGTGTCTGTGGGCTGATGTTTTGTTCCATTGTTGAATCTTGCAGCACTTTTTCAGATAATCCGGACGGCAACAGGTGGAGGAATGGCATGATGAGAGGCATCTTCAGTTCTGAGTGGGGTAGCAGAAGAGGCAGGACATGAGGTTAGGCTAGAACTTGATGAGTTATTTGTTCTGTGTCTGTGCTACCCTGTAGGAGAAGTTTGTTAGTGTAGAGGGTAAAGAAGAGCATGGCCATTTATGGTCATCTTGTGAAGTACTTATTAAGAAAGTAAGCTAAATAAAATAACAGTGCGTTCACACACAAGTGCTATGCTATCATCCTATACTCTAATTCGTCCATTGTTGTTCTTCCTTCATGTCTTGATGATGATGATGATATCCAACTCTAAGGTGCACTTGTTTTCTACATGTGGGTTTGGTAAAAAGGATGCTTTTTTCAGTGGAAGTTTCTTCTTTTATAAGCACTTATGGTAGAAGAAACTCGAACACCCAAGTACTTTCCCTTTTGTGACCCTATTTAGAGCACTTGTTTATATTTAGAATCCATATAAGAAGGAAGGGTATGTGTGGAATTTTTAAGTTAATTTTAAAATTCATAGAATAGTGATACAAAGGACTAGATGTGATGAACATTGCTGAAGTTTTCATGTAAAGGGTAAGATTTTGAAATCTAGAAGGTAATGAAAAGTAATTTTAATTTTGCAATTCCTAAGTGTAAAAATGTAATATTTTAAACTCTAGGGATCGAATAGAAAAATTTGTAATGTTCTATGTTTGGAGATCCCATCTTTAGCATATGGCGTTTTCATCTTTAGCATATGGCGTTTTCATTCTTTGATTTTCAATTGATATGGCTTCTTCTCTTTTGTGATTTGATTTTTATCCCATTGATTTTTAATTTAGTTTATGTGATAGTCCCATGTATGTTAGTTGAGGAGGAGAACAAAATATGTGGAAACCTTTTTCTAGCCGTCCGAAAGGGAAAGCCCAAAGACAATATCTAACTTTTTTCTAGTAGACACGCTTTAAAAGCCTTGAGGGGAAGCTTGAAAGGGAAAGCCCAAAGATAATATCTGCTAGTAGTAGATATTGGGTCGTTTGATGGTTAGAATTTTAAGTTACTTTTTTCTAGCAGACACGCTTTAAAAGTCTTGAGGGGAAGCTTGAAAGGGAAAGCCCAAAGATAATATTTGCTAGTAGTAGATATTGGGTCGTTTGATCGTTAGAATTTTAAGTTTTTAGACTAAAATTTACCGTGTAATAGAAAATTGAATAAACAATATATGGTTGAGATCATATAAGTTAAATAATATAATAATATAACAAAAATATTTATTAATGTAAAAAAAAAAAAAATTGAAACAAATTTGGAAAATAAAAATTTATTGCAAATACAACTTTAATAGACAATAAGGACTAATTCTTTAAGACTAAGTTATACATATTCCTCAGTTACGTTGTAAAGATTTATTCTTATGCTTAAATTTTGAATTCTTATTTTTGAATTTTGAATTTTATTCTAAAAAATACGCTCGATAACTTTGAAATTAAAAAATATCTTTAAATTTAAAATAAATTATTAAAACGGATACAGTAGCTAATATGCAAAAATTAGATTACATAATATATTACAACTACATAGAAAATTAAAATTCATTTTTAAAAAATATTGATAAAATAATCAATAAATTTAGAATAAAGAATAAATTTGAAGGTTGAAATATAAAAAAAATAATTGTAACTTAATTTGAATGGAAAAGTGATGCCCCCAACATCCCATTTGAATCCATCTTCGTTTTTAAAACTCAAGAAATGAGAAGATTATATCTTCGTTTTTAAAACTCAAGAAACGAGAAGATTATATCTTCGTTTTTAAAACTCAAGAAACGAGAAGATTATCAAACATAGATACTAAATAATTACCGTGAGTTTTTTTCTTCGAATTCAAATTATGTATACCTTTAGCAATATGGTTAGTGAGAGTAATCTCGATTCAACTCCCAACTCATCTACCGCCCCTCTGTGTGCGGAGAAAGAGATGGATAGACGGGCCTCGGGCAGGGAGGCCGCCATGAGAAGCTTGGTGGAAGAGAAAAGGAAAAAAAGTGGAACATGAGAGATAAGAGGGTGTGAAATTAGCCAAGGAGACTGCCTGCAAGTACCAAATATTAGCCAAGCTGATTGATTAGTAGTTCTATATATGCAGGCAAGTCATCCTTGGCTACAACACCACCCTCTTCATTCCCATGCACCGCCACTCTTCCCATAACAAAAAAAAAAACACACCTCCTGGCCCCTACTGCTGCATCAAACTCCAATTTATAGACCCAACTGCGAGGCCATGGAGGAGGGTTTTGATACTCATTTTCAAAGTGGGCTATCAACACAAATAGTGCGATCCGCACTTGTCGACCTCCCATTACTTCCCTTTGCCCAATTCAACTACTTCTTCAACCTCACCCTTCGGCTTTTGCTTTTGTGGACTGACTCAGACTGCTCATAGCTTGGTGCAACTTTGTGTACTAAGATCATCCTTTTTTGTGAAAGAAAAGTTTTGTGTAACTAAAAGTGGAAACTGATCTGTGTGAATGCTCTACTTGCCTCTACATGTGCAAGCTATGTCAGTGTCTATGTAGCTTAGCTTTTGGGTGAGCCTAGGACTCACTTCTACTAATACTACTTATATTGCCAATATAATTGTGGTTTCAACTTCCCCCAATCATTCCCACTTAATAGTGTTTTCAGCCGAACTTAAGTATTTCATGGTTGGATTGGATTGAATCAAGTTGTTCGGATTGAACAAAATGCAACTCGAACAAGATGTTAACAAATGGCAACCAATCATTACTATAATCTATTATGTTATGAGGAACAATAATGTACTTGGAAGCTAAGTCTACAAGAAATTCACCAGTAATCCTTGCATGAACAGCTACCAGCTTCAAAACAATGAAATCTATTTGAATCTCTAACAGTTATTTTTCTCTTTGTGATCTTCGAAATAAACTTAATTGCATTATGACAATCTACACAAGTTCTTAGATTCTTGAAAATCTTGATTGGCGTACCTGTAGGGGTTGAAATGATTCCAAATGCAACTGCAAGTTTCTCGCTGTGGTAAGAAAGGTTTTGTTCTTTCTGCTCCAATTCCACATCGTGTAGTACAAAGTTAGTATCAGGTACATAGCCAACTTCCTTCATTCTCTTTGAGAGCTCGGCCAAATACTCGAGTATTTCCTTCGACTTCGGATGCGAGTTATCCCCGACAGTGAATGCGTGAACCTCTCTCTTGATCTCAATCCAACTCAAACCAGGCTTCTTCACTATTCCCCTGTTATCCATGGCCTTTCTGATCTTTGCTTCTTCAGCCCACTTCCCAGCAGTGGCATAAATATTGGCTAGGGTAATATAAGTGGCTGGATTCTCAGGCTCTATTTCAAATAAAGATTTTGCTGCTTTTTCTGCTAGTTCAAGGTTTCCATGTATTCTACAGCCACCAAGTAAAGAAGCCCATAAAAACTTATCTGGCTTCATAGGCATTTTGTTAATTAAGCTCTCAGCTTCTGTAAACCGGCCAGCACGGGCCAATAAGTCGATTATACAAGCATAGTGATCAGCGGTATGTGACAAACCATGTTTTTCCTTGATGGAGTGAAAATACTCAAGCCCCTTATCGACCAACCCAGCATGAGTACAAGCAGACAAAACTCCAACAAAAGTAATATGATCTGGCTTAGTGCCTGATTTAAGTAGCAATTCAAAGAAATGGAGGGCCTCATCATGTCGACCGTTTTGTGCATGACCAACAATTAACGAAGTCCATGAAACCAAATCGGGTCGGGGCATTCCTTCGAACACACTCTTGGCATTCTCGATGTTCCCACACTTGGAATACATATGAACAAGAGCGCTTGCTGCAAATGAAAATGGATTGAATCCTACACGAATCATGAAGGCATGAATTTGCTTACCCAAATCCTCTGCTGCGTGATCAGCACAAGCATTCAAGACACCAGCAAATGTGAACTCATTCGGTTTGATTTTCGAACTCATTAAGTGTCTAAATAAAGCAAATCCCTCTTCTCTCCTCCCATCTTCGAGGTACCTACCAATCATCGTTGTCCATGAAACAACATCTTTTTCCACCATTTTGTCAAAAATGTATCTAGCTTCCTCTATACTTCCACATTTCCCATACATATCCAATAGGGAGCTCCAAACTACCTCATCTGAATCCAACCCCATTCTCATAATATGACCATGTATCTCCTTTCCCATTTGTAAACTTGGAATAGCTGCTGAGGCAGCCACTGCACTAGATACAGTAAACTTGTTGGATTTTGAGTTCTCATGCTTTTGCATCAATCTATACAACTCTAACGCCTCTTCAGGACGGTTATGTCGAACACAACCATTAATTATTGCGGTCCAAGAAAAGCTATCTCTCTCAGGCATTTTGTCAAACAAATTTCTAGCCTTATCAAAATGCCCCCCTTGGACATAACCAGAAATCATGGTATTCCAGGAACACAAATCCCTTGCGACCATTTCATCAAATACTTTCTGGGCATCCACCAAACTCCCACATTTAGCATACATATCAAGCAAACGATTTGAAATGTAAATTCCAGGTATGAACCCAGAGGCTTTGATGTGGGCATGGACTTGTTTACCTTCTTCAAGAGCTCGTTGTTGAAGACAAAATTGTAATAAAGTCGAGTATATGGAAGCAAACGGTTTCTCTATGTGATAGATCAATTGAACCGCCTCTCTTAAACATCTTTTCTCACAGAGAATGTCTATAGCCTCTTTGAACTTCTTGTCATTACAAAGACGGTTTATATTGGCATCTTTCCCATCAAACAAGATAAACTTCTTCCCTATATGGGTTTGAGTAGTTAAATCTCTAGTTAAGATTCTTCGAGATAAATGTGGAACAAATCTTAGGAGCAGAAATGTCATAGCTTATAGAGTAATTGATGAAAGCCCGAAAACAGAAGAACTATTTCATATCCTCAAGCTTGAAAAAACATACAGTGATAATTTAGCACCCGGAATCCTTTTTCATACCGCCTTTACACTGCAACCAAAGAAATAAGAAACAGAATGAAAATAAAATAATTCCAACTAATCTTCGGCTAAACATAAGAAGAAAGAAGATAAAAGAAAAATCCAATTTCATCAAATACACATCAAAATCCAACCATTTCCTCGAAGTAGAATCAACAAGAAGACAAACCTTGAAGAGAATCGGATACTGATCTCTCTAAACTCTCCTATTTATTTAGCCCTCACAAGCTCTCCAAAACTAATCCTTCGAGTCACATCGACCCCTGACCAGTTGAGCCA